TATAATTACAACTTTCTTCGGTTTCTTGTCCCTATCATTGTCTTCTGAATCTCCTTTCTCTGAATTGATGTCGATTACCACACTCTACTTTCATGATAAAATATGGTAACCATATTGTATACATCGAGTTATCACACATTACCATATGGTATAGTATGGTAACCACAATATACATCTAGTTACCACACAATACCACCATTGTATAGTATGGTAACAACAATAATATACATAAAACTAAGACGTACTTCACATGCCTTTCTTCTGCCTCCTCGCGTTTCCTCCTCCGCAAATGAGAACACCAAAAGAAGAAAAAAAGAGGAAGATCGGAATTGAAAATCCACAAACAAAAACTAAAACATGCAAACTCGACTCACCTAGATTTGTCTCCTCTTGGTTGATATGGAGCGTCACCAATTTTGAAGCCGAGGACTTGAAAAAAGGAGGCTGCACCTTTCCTTCATCGATTGTTATAGAGAAAAAATGAAGAACAGAATAAGAGATTAGATCTAGAGAAGAAGGAGATTGGAAGAGAGAAAGGAACAAAGAAAGAGGAGATTGCTAGAGAGAAAAATGAAGAACAGAATAAGAGATTAGATCCAGAGAAGAAGGAGAATGAGAGAAAGAGAAAGAAACAAAGAAAGAGGAAAAGAGAGTTGCAGAGATAAGACACTAACTCTCTCTCCTCCATGCAAAGCAAACTAATAAATGCTGGACAAATTAAAAAAAGGAAACAATTCAAAATTCAAAAAGAGGACAGAAATACCCCTCATCACCCCACATCAATCCCAGCCACATGATCGCTCTGTCCTAGATCAACGACTCCGGGTGAGTTACTCACAGATCAGTAACCGTTGGTTACCGACGGTATCCCAACTCCCAAGCCCTAACTAAGTCATATTAGGATAAATAAACCCGGCCGTATCCCATATGTATATATACTCTCCTCTGCTGTACGGTGAAAAGTAAGATGAATAATATTGTTAGCTTTTTTTTTTTGTGTTTTGTTGTTCTTTTGTTTTGGTTTAATCAATCTATTTAACCATTATAAAAAATATATATATATATATATATATATATATTGTTAGCTTTTTAAATGATTCATGATATAATTTTGTAATTACAAAACTTTGAGAAATTAAATATATTTCGAAACTATCAAGAATATCACTCTATATGTATCAAAAAAATTATTTATGATTGAGTTACATATTTGCTTTTGAACGATGTTCTTTGTCAAGACCGTTTAGTATCAATAATTCGAGTTCTTTGATAAGATTTAATAATGGATCTTATACTGTTCAGTATTTTACTACCACTTGATACTACCCTAGGGGATGGATGTTATATAAAAGTACGCAGCAAAGCAATCAATACAAGATAGATGCCCGACCACGATCAACGCTTGTTTGGGATAAAACAGATGTTCTTGGGTGTTCGGGATAAAACAGAATCATACGTGCAATTCGACGCCTTGGGAAAGGCTCGATTGATATAAGAATAGATGCCCGGCCACGATCAACGCGTTCTTGATCGATACAGAAGCTCACGAGTTTGGAATCTACCAAACTCAACACAGGTACGCAAACTTGCAAATTTGTTTATGGACTATAATAATTACCTCTTGTTTTTGGGAAGGACGGGTTTCAATAATAATCAATTATCATTTCTTCGTATGATTTCAATGATATTAATTATTGTGATCTTTCGGATACATAATGCAGGGTAGGAAACAAATAATAGTAATTAATTTTTTTTAGATAATGGTGAAATAGTATTAATAAAAGGAAAAATCACAGACTGCAACAACAACAACAAAAGGAAAGGTGTTGCAGCGGATCAAGGAGGCTCAAGATAGGGTGCATAACCATAGGTTATGCACCCATCAATAACCAAATCTGGACCCTTCATTTAGAAAATTTAGATCTAAGGATGGAGAATTAAAGGCTATTTTTATTTTCACTAGCTTTCTTAATTGACTCATATCTTTTTCGTTTTAACTCGGATTTTAATTTTTTTTGCACAGATGGAACGAGTTCACCGTGCTCTACAAAATGAGATCAATTTTCAATATTTTTTTAGGAAAAAAAAATTCTTGCCTCTCGGTACCAACTGCATACCATATGGTATCTTCTTCGTTTTTAATTCGTTTTTGAAAACGTTTGCACAGCAGGGATGAGTTCATCATGATCTACTGGATCTACAAATTTCTGGGTGAACAAATTACAGGACCAAAAAATACCACACAATACCATACAATACCACCCTGGTACGGGGTGGTATTGTATGGTATCTTCTTCGTTTTAAATTCGTTTTTGAAAACGTTTGCACAGAAGGGACGAGTTCATCATGATCTATTGGATCTACAAATTTCTGGGTGAACAAATTACAGGACCAAAAAATACCACACAATACCATACTATACCACCCTGGTACGGGGTGGTATTGTGTGGTATACAATGTTAAAAGTCGTAAATTACAATTAATTTACTTCTACTATCATGTATTCAACCATCCTACAGTATTGATTTGTTCATACCATCATGGTACGTTTTTCAAAACATAGGTATGCTTTTATTTCAATACCAGTCAATACCATATGATATAGGCTGGTAAAAAATGGCTCAATTTTTTTTTGTTCGAAAAATATATTAAAGTGGATATCATTTTGAAAAGCACAATTAATCTGATCTAACTGTGCAAAAAAAAATTAAATTTCGACTTAAAATGAGCGAGAAATCGTCCGTCAAAGATTAAAGAGGGAAAAATTAAAGGCTTTCCATGAGAGAGAGGATGCTGATGTCATGCTGATATGGATGAGTTACTCACCATAAGGTTACTCACCATAAGGTTACTGACCTGATCCATTCCCAGGGCAGCAGATAGGGTCAGTAACCATTGGTTACTGACCTATCAGTATTAAATCCGGACCGTAGATCTAGGGATGGCATTATTATATTGTTGGGCTGCACGTGGAGTGAGGAGGGGCATTTTTGTCCGATTTTTGAAATTTGATTTCTTTTCTTTTTTTTTTATTTTTTCCAGCATTTATATGTGTTGTCTTTTAATGGAGGAAAGAGAAAAAGCAGACTTTTCTCTTCCTCTCTCTTTTCTCTTTCTTCCTTTCTCTCTTCCAAAATTCTTTTTCCAGATCTAAATCTCATTTCTTCTCTTGTTCTTCATTTTTTTCTCCAACAATCGATGAATAAATTGCAGCCTCCCACTTCAAATTCGGTGAGGCTCCAAATCCTTCTACTCTCAAGCTGCTCCTTCCTTCTGTTTTTTTCTTTTATCGGCCTCAAAATCGATGATGCTCCATATTGTCAAAGAGGGGACAGATCTAGGTGAGTTGAGTTTGCATCTTTTGTGTTTTATTATTTGTTTGTGAATTAATTCCGATCTTCTTCCTCTTTTTCTTTCTTTTTGCATTCGGTGTTCTTCATTGCGGAGGAGTAAATGACAGGAGACAGAAGACAAGTTTTTTTTTCCTCTTCCTCCTTCTGTTTCCCCTTCTTTGAGAATATATATTGAGATTACCACACTATACCATATGGTAATGTGTCGATACCATATGGTAATGTGTCAATACCATATGGTATCGACACATTACCATATGGTAATGTGTATATACCACACTATACCATATGGTAATTTGTATATACCATATGGTAATGTGTCTATACCATATGGTAATGTGTATATACCATATGGTAAAGTGTCTATACCATATGGTAAAGTGTATATACCATATGGTAATGTGTCTATACCATATGGTAAAATGTATACCATATGGTAAAGTGTGGTAACGAAATGTATTTTTATGGATATCGTGTTTTACTATGGTCGTAAAAGGGTTGTAATTAGATTTATATTATTTTTATATGGTTTTAACTTCTCATACCATGTGGTATTGTATGGTAATTACAATTAATTTGTGTTCATTCGATTAACCATGCTCTACTATGTTGGCATTGTATGGTAGTTAGATTTACCATATGTTGATATTACCATACTATACCATATGGTATTGGGTGGTAACGAAATATATATTGATATTACCACACTATACCATATGGTATTGGGTGGTAACGTAATATATATTGATGTGCCAAATTTTTTCATACCATATGGTATGGTCAATACCAGTCATTACCATATGGTAATGACTGGTAATAACTGACAAATTTTTTTATGTCTGAAAAATATCAAAGTGGATATCATTTTGAAGAGCACAATTAATCTGATCTAACTGTGCAAAAAAAATTAAATTCCGACTTAAAACGAGTGAGAAATCGTCCGTTAAAGATTAAGAGAAGGAAAATTAAAGGTTGTTTGAGGAGAGAGAAGGCGCTGATGTGATCTGGTCAGCGTCAGCGCGTCAGCGCGTCAGAGACATCATTAAATAGGGGTGCAATTTTACCTTAGTGCCCCTCCGTATTTTTTTTAAATAAAAAGAAAAAGTTAACACGTGGGGGCCAGGGGAAGGGGTTACTGATGGTTACTGAGGGGATCCGCTCCCCGGATACAGAATGCAGGGGAAGAAAGGAAAATAAATAATAATTAATTGGGTTAAACACGGGATAAGGATCCAATTAAGTATTTCTGTCCCCTCCAACCCTAATTAGCCTTCAATCCTTTCAAATATAAAATGCGGGGGTGGAAAATAAAATAAATAATAGTTAATTAGTTTAAATACGGGATAGGAATCCAATTAACAACTTTTATCCCCCTCGCAAATTACGTTTCAATTAGCTCGCAAGCCTTATTCGATGGGTTTTTTCTTCTTATAGTTGAAATTATTCATTCATCCTTTAATGTAATGGACAACTTGAGCTGGAAGCGACATCTGTTAAGAAGACATTTGCGAGATAATTGTTGGAGTAGGTTAGAGATGGTGGCCTTAGTTATGGGGGAGCAGCAGTCAGTGAACCTAGAATGTATGTAAATCGTTCTGGAAGCTGAATCGAGTTTGAAGAGAAAAAACAAGAAGCTGGTTGAGAAGAATGCAACAGTACAGATCTTTCTACGTGGTTGTGGTTGTAACGTTTTGCTACAAAGGTGAATTCTCTATACCTCCTTTTACACTACAAAGAAATGGGCCTAGCCCAGGGGTTTCCTTTCTGCGGTTCCCCTAACCGCTGCTGGGCTTTTGTTATGTATACCTTTGGCAGCAAATCCTCCAGCGGTTATTACACCCGCTGAGAAGCCTAACTGTTTAAATTATATTTCAATTTTTTCTTTGAACACAATTTGGAACAAAAATAAAGCACGATGAGGGGAAAATTGGATCCCGAGCTCATAAGTTCCGCGATGGAATGGAACAATTTCCTTTCTCCGAACCCTAAGATCGTAATAGGCGATACCCCCAATCCCCGAGAAAAATCATGGTCTTTGCCTCTCTTTCTCTGATCTCTACAGTTTGAAACTTAGATCTATGTTAGATCTAGTCAGATGAACCATCGTGTTCGGCCATATCTCCTTCTCCGACGGGAGTTTGAGCTTCAAGAAATCCAGTTCCGAACGCCATTTCCCGTCCCTATGGTTCCCCATCTTTTCATTCTCGTCCGCTGGTTAGAACTCGTGTATTTGATTTTCGCTTTCTCTCTGTTTTTATTTAGGTTTTCGGCGAAGTCTCTCTCGGTTGCGCTGTCGGCCTCTAGCACGGAGGCGAAGTCTGCAAGCTTTGAAACTTCAGTTTTGACGACGGAGATGAATTTCGTGCTTGCTGTGTGCGCTGAGGAGAAGCGGGAGGTGAAGCACTTGATCAATGTCGATGATTGTAAGAGGTATATAGGGTTTGGTATTTGCTTGTTTCAATTATTGATTTGTATCAATTATGACTAAATTGGTAATGATTAAAATTGCGCATAAACCTCTTGGTTGGATTAGGAAGAGCTGAAAAGTATATTCCCGTAGAACCAAGAGAAAGCTTCAATTCAATTTTTCTTATATTGACTGCAATTGAAATCTTTCGTGTTGTACCTTTTTGCATTTTAAGTCTTAGTGTAGCATGAAAGCACGAAAGTGAAGTTGAGCTGAGTTCCATGTTGGCAATTTGGGTCCTCTGTTTTCTTGTTGTTGTTGTTTTTTTATGGTGTTGATAATTTTTTCAAAACTGCTATTTACTTGGTCCTGGTTCATGTTATTATTGTTTGAGGTAGATGCATGCTTGAGAATCCTTGACTGAAGCCTATTACTCAAGACTCAATGAGTGATAATAACTAGTTCTTGATATTGTCTGCAGAAGTTGGTAAGTGTTTATGAGTTTTGATTATTAGAAAGTTATGTGAAATTGAAGTAGTTCAATTACTTATGTGCTCTAAGCTGGAGTTAAAGCTAAGCTTCGTGTTCTTTTTTAGCTTCATTGCTTTGACATTTGCACGTTTTATATGAATTCAATTGTTGGCATCAAGTTGATCAGAGAGGCAGAATCCCCTAATTTGTGTACGAATGCACTAATTAGTCCAACCATATTTTAGCATTTTGATTTAAAACTTGATATGTTGCTGATACTCATAACCTTTAGCTGATTGATGATATCATGATCTTCTCACTTCAGCTTTTAATATTCATTTTTGTTCCGTAGTGATGCGTGACAATGGGAAGATTGGCCAGCCAAAGAGTTCATAGCCTATGAGGATCTTGAGTTGCTAGAATTGGCCGAAATAACCAGGCAAGTCTACTGTTAGCCAATGATGATCTTGGTCAGAGTCGGCTTTTAGCATCAAAGGCAGAGTAGGCAAGAAACTAAAACTTCATTTTCTACGAGGATGGGGATGAACTTTGTGCTTATGGTGTCAGGTGTGTGCTGAGGAGAAGCAGGATTTGGAGAATGATCAATCGAGGTCGGGCCTTCTAAGAGCTAAATATGATGTGGATGGGAAAAATGGATCAGTAGGTGAGAGTCAAGATTCCCTTAAAACTACCTAATTTTTGTCGTAAATTAGCTAAAAGTGACTCTTCTTAAGTTTGCTGGTAATTTAATTAATCCAATGTCTGTATCATTTGGTAGGCTCTAGGGATTGAACGTGGAATGCAACATATGTGTTGTATTATTTTGCTGTTCAAGTTTCATTTTATTGGATTTCTTATTTAACTGCAGCAAGAACGAGTCCATATGTTGGTTGAAATTGGAAATCTCTCAGCTGGTTCATATGGGAAAACGCAGAAATTGCAAGGTATTCAATCCTAAAATTTTAGACATTAGAGACACAAGTTCATTATATCTTATCTTGCAAAGATAGTTTAGCTACATCTATTGTAGAAAAGTTTTGTATGGTTCCAGGTTATATGTGCATATAATTTCTCATTTATAATGATTCTATACTTTTTAATTTTTGGCTTCCTCTCATGATTCGCCCTTTTTCTGTGGTCTTAGAACTTATGCAGGTGTGAACTATAGAAATTCAAAGCATTATTGAATTGCATTGAGGTCAAGGTAATATTTGACTCTATTACTTTATCTCGGTTATGCTTGATTTGTTTAAGTTTCTAAAGAGAAATGAATACTAGAGAATATATGTGAATCCCCTTTTTTATGATTCTGCAGCAGAGCTGAGGTTCCTCAAGTATATTTTTTTATAACTTCAAGTTTTTCTTTCATTTACATGAGTGTTGATGTGCATCATTCTTAGTGTTGCTGCTGTTGTAATTTGCTGCAGAGCCAAAGTGTTATAACCAAGATGTCCTCGTTGCTCTTATAACCAAGATGTTAATGTTTTATTAGTTGTTAATTTTAGATGGTTCCTTTTGTCAATCAGAGAAGCTGTTACAGTTCTTTTTAGCTGCAACTGTAACTTGTCCCTACAGTGAAAGTTTCAATGAGTTCTCATCAATGATATCCTTGCTCCTTTTCCTTTCCCTCTTAATATGCTTGAATTCTGCTCACCCATCAAAGAACTTTGCCTGTCTAGTTACTACTCACTATCTTCACCACACTGTCACTTGCTCCTTTCCCTCCCTCCTTGGATTAAGTTTTAGTTTCCCCAGAGAAATATGAACCTTCCTTGCACTGCTTGTATGTAGGTAGTCTTGGATTTGGGGTTATATTAGTTGTTTATGTGTATATAGTTAAAGTTTCAACATCTATATAAAAATTTCAGCTTTGAAAATGAATAGAAGCCTCCATTGCTCAGGTTTATTTGCATCTTTCCTTGGAGTTGTAGCTAGAAATGGACTGTTTACACCCTTGGAACTTAATTGGAGAAAGGCTGAGTTTCGTCCTTATAAAGCGAAGATACTGGATCTTGTTCAGGTATGTTTACACTCTAGATCTTTCCTAGATCCAACAATTCTGGTTTCAATTCAAGTATCATTTTGAACGGACAATGAAGCTCGAATTGGGTTAAATTGATCTGCATCTTTTTATTTGGAAGGATGAGCATTGCAAGGTGGAAGGCTATAAAAGTATGTGTTTTACTTAATATGACGTTTAATTTAACAAACTTAAATGTGACATTAACAAATGGTGGTACTTTATCCTTATGCTTCTTAGACTAAGGAAACTGGAAAAGAACCTGATAGGCTGGAAACATTTGAAGATACTTATACAAGAAAGAAGGGGACCTATGTGAATGGGTATAATGCAACCCTAATTGTAAGAATTTCTTATTTATCAAAAAAAAAATTGTAAGAATTTCTTACTATTTTACTTGATTGAGACCCTACTGAATTTGGTTTGCATAGATGTGTAAACCTCCTTTGCTTTTCTGCTATGCTGTGCAAGATGTGTAAACTTCCTTTGCTCTTATGATTGCTGTCTTTACTGTATCGAATATGATGAATAGCACTATGAACAATATAATTAGATCGAAAAAGAAATAGAAATGAAAGAACTACTTATTAAATGTTATATATTTCTTTTGTTTTTATGACTGTGTAGGAGAAGGCGTATACTCTTAGACAAGAAGGTTCGTTTGATAATGAACAAATTTTTCAGAAGGTGCATGGGCCAGAGCATCCTGGGAGGGTTCGTTGTGCTGGTTTGGGACCAACGCCATCGACTTATTTGGGGCCTTCTTGTTCTTCAGCTTCAATAAATTCTACCACGACATCAAACTCTAACGAGGTAGACGCTCTAAAAAGTGAAGTGATAGAACTGAGAAATGAACTGGCGAAAGCAAAAAGTGAGGTAGTTGAACTGAGAAGTGGGATGGATCAGCTGCAACTGGAAGTAGACACACTGAAGACACTGTCCTTGCAACATATTCGTAGGGAGAAGGGGTCAATGGAGGGTTCAATTCGTGCACCATCTTCATCAAGCCAAAGTGCTACACGGGGTTGACAAAAGGTAAGTAAAAAAAATAAAGTACCTGCTGCCTTGCTGATTATGACTGTTTGTTTGCAAACTCTGTTCTTTTCCACTCTGGAATTTTGGCAAGCTCGTAATTTTTTTGTTACTTTTTGTCCTTGAGAATGTGATAGTATTCCTATTCCCCTTGACATTCCAGTCCAATTTAGTACCATTCTCAGCTTAGCATGTTAGATTATATATATATATAGTAAGTAATGGCAATGGCCTACAGGTTAAACCCTTCGATGCATATATATATTTGAGATTGTTGTCTTGTTATTATTTTTCCAGCTCCAGGAAGAGAGAGAAAGTCCCCTCTAACTACAAGCGATGCACCAAGTGAGTCATATCATATATCATATAAGATGATGTAATTTGATTTGGAGCTGTACATGTAATTTGATTTGGAGCTATATGTTTTGGTTACATTTGTAACAGGATAAAGATGAGCTGTTGGTGATTCTGAAGAAAGCCTAAGTTCAATATTATGGATTTAGTTGGAACTTTATATTTGTTAAAGTTTACTTTGGTAGTATTGTGTAGTAATAATGTGTACTTTGGAAATTAGCATTGTGTGGCATGGATAATGGAGAATATTGTAGACTTTGAAGGTACTTTGCATGTATAGTTTATGAGAATTTTGAAATGCTTCAGCAGGCGTGCAGGATTTCTAGAAATTATGAAAAATTGAAATGCTTCAGTAGGCTTTAGTAATGGTCTAAAAATCGTCGCTAAAAATCATCTGAATTGCGTCGCTAAAAATAATCCAAAACGTCGCTAAAAGGTTACCCAGTGCTTGAAGAGTGGTCTGTAGCAGGGGCCAAAACCGTCGCGAAAGCTTCTGGGATCCCAGCAAAGATTCGCATCTGATGGCACAAAAAAGACCAAAAGCGACAGAAATAACCGCTGCAACAAAACCGTTGCTAACAACCCCGACAGCGGTTTTTGTGACCCCTGTCATTACCTAGCGGCAGTTGTTCTTGCGACGGTTTTGCAGGGGTTATAAAAACCGCTGTCGGAGTTGTTAGCGACGGTTTTTTTCGTCGCTAAAAGTGAAAAAAAACCCCTGCTGTTTGTCTTTTATTTTGTAGTGTTAGCTTTGCAAACTGGGCGTTTGAGAGTTTGTTAGTAGGGGTGGGCAATTGGCGGGTTGGGTGGATTTTGGTCTAAAATTGGCCCACCCGCTTACTAGCGGGTTGGAATCTATGTGACCCGCAGTGGCGCAGTCCATCCACATACTTATGCGGGTTGGGTTGGGTGGGTGGCGGATGGGTACGGTTGGGTCGCGGGTTAACCCGCAAAAGCAATTCTCCAACTAGCCATTAAGAAAATTGACTAACATTAATAATAAGTTCATAGCAAATTAGTAAGATTGTATCAATAATTTGTGATTTTGATACAATTAATAATTTATAGTTTGTATCCCAATATTTAATGGATATTAATAATAATTTGCATACCAATATCCATTGCCAATGGATATTGCACAACACAATAACCAATAATAATAGTCAAAACTATTCTTTATTCTCCACATTTTGAAGTATATGGTCAGACTATAGTGCAGTTTTAAAATATGATAACATTCGATACTATAAGAAACAACATTTTTCCATGTAAAAATAGGACGCGGGTCATACGGGTGACCCGCAATCCACCCACCATCCACCCACATAAAGTGCGGGTGGGAGATTTAACAATCCGCAATCCACCCACATCATCACCCATTGCGTGCGGGTCGAATTATTTGCGGGTGGATCGATATCAATCTGCGGATTAACCACCCACGTGCCTACCCCTATTTGTTAGTACTCAGTTGGGACAATTGCAAGAGTTTTCCATGGTGGTTATGTCGATGTTGTTTGACGTTTGATTTGACTAAAGTTCCTAGGAGGATTTTCTTAATTCCAATTGTTCTGCCAGTCTTGCAGCTCCTTAATGTTCCTGCAGAGGTCCTTCTCAGGCCATTATTATTCCCTGCTGGCTTTGTGGAAGCTCGAACGTTTGGAATAGGTGCCATCACCTGGTCACCACCTCCTACTACTCCACCGATTATGCCTTTGTCATTCTTCTCAAGTATATATATATCAGTTCCATATAGTTGTCGAGTAAGCAATAGGAAGAGGAGGTGTGGTCATTCTTGGGTGCCCTTTGGTTCTTAAGTCTTTTTTTTCACTACAAGTACCGAGGTTGTTTTACGTGTAAGGTAGTTTTACCTAGGTAGTTTCTTTTCTCTGATTTGGAGTTAGCATTAGAGTGTACATATTGCTTTTTATTCGTGCCTTGAATGACTTAAAAATCAATACTTACATATTATACTAAAATATTATATCCAGTATTTATGACTCTATCTTGAAAGTAATGGAACTCACCAGGGTTGATAAGGAAGGGAAACTGTTGTTCTTTTCCTTTCTAACTTTTGTTCTATTTTTGTTGCCAATCAATATGATCTACAACTGAAGAGCATGATCATTCCTGTAAACATTGATGAAAGATGTCGACCTTCATCTTCCAATACGGTGACGTTTTCGTCCCAAGATCATACGACAAGATATGCTGCGCTTAAGCTCCACACGATGACGTCTTGGACTCCAACAGTCACTCACTTCATCGTCCTTCTAAGTCTACTGATGAATCAAGCAGAATTGATCGATACACTCAACCCTAGCCTCTCGATCATAGCCTCCCACCTACAAGAAGCGGCAGAAAAGCTCAACTCAGATCGTCGGTGATGAAGCACAGACATCACCGACATCCCACCAAAGACATGATGGAGATCAAACGGCTCTATCCCAGTGCAACGGTCAAGACAGCTTTCTAGGTATAAATAGACTCATGGCTGTTCGTTTAGATTTTGACCGCGATAGAGAAAGAATCAGGAGAATTCTTAGGCTATCTTAAGTCCAGTTGTTTTTTCTCTTCAGTAGTTTGATTCATAGTGATTATTCTGGGTGAATCAAGCTTGGGAAGAGTGTTGTTGTTTGTGTGTCTTCAAAGTGCCAACTCAGTTGGCATGACACGGAGTGGTTTAATAGTCTCTCTGCTGTAATTTTTTCTTTCGATCAATAAATTAGTTTGTTTACTGTGTTCTAGCCGATTATCTTCGTCTCAAATTCCAACAATTGGTATCAGAGCTGGGTCTTTGAAGGATTAAATTTCGCCAAAGATGATCAAGGACATGGCTGGAGTCATGGCTGCCTCGGCTTCATACTCTGCAAACACCAATCCACCATGGTTCGACGGCACGGATTACACAGTCTGGAAGAAGAGGATGAGGATTTACTTGCGAGGTGTCGATGGCGGATTGTGGGCAATTGTCAAGAATGGGCCAATCCCTATGGATGATGAGGAAGAAGATAAATGGGAGGATGATCAGAAATTATCTTCTCAACAGAACTCGAGGGCAATGCATATCCTCTTTTCTGCACTCAGTCCAGAAGAGAGGAGTCAAGTGGCTCAATGTGAGACAGCCAAAGAGATTTGGGAGTCTCTTGAGACTACCCACGAAGGTACGTCAGAAGTAAAAGAAAGTAGGATAGATGTGTTATTGAATGAATATGAATCTTTTGAAATGAGCACTGGTGAGTCTATAACCAGTATGTACAAGAGATTTAATGACCTGATAAATAGATTAAAAGGTTTAGGGAAAACATTTCCAACAAAAGATCTAGTTAGAAAGATTCTACGAAGTCTTCCTAGAGAATGGCTGCCTAAACGAACAGCTATAGAAGAAGCAAAGGATTTAAATGTTTTATCAATTGAAAGGCTTGTTGGCTCACTACTAAGTCATGAGGAAGTTATCGTCCAAATGAATAGAGAAGATAGCAGAAGGAAGAAAGTAATTGCCTTCAAGGCACAAGACTTTGAAAGTGAGTCAGAATATGAAATAGGAGAGGAATTTGAGAGGGAATTTGCCATGATTAGTAGAAAATTTCACAAAATGCTAAAAATGAAAAGAGACTTTGATGATAGAAGGAATCGAGGAAGTTCAAGACAAGTTAATAATCATATCTATGAGTCAGGGAGGCGTCGAGATGGATTCGAAAAAACACTAGGTCGAAATTCCGATAGAAACTCAGGAGGAAGTACTCAAAATCATGACAAGGGTCAGTTTAAAAAATTGGACAAACCAACCGAAGATCGTGAAAGGTACATTCAGGAATCTAAGGAAGACCATAGGTCTTCCAGTGAGAAGGATCTAATGATTTGCTTTAAGTGTGGAAAGTCAGGTCACATGAGGTCAAGATGCCCTCTAAACTTAAAAAGGCAAGAGAAGGCAATGGCAGCTTCTTGGAGTGACTACAGCTCTGAGGAAGACACTGAAGCAAGAAATCTAGCTTACATGGCCTTTGCCACCAAGGATGACAATGAGTCAAGCTCACTAGCAAGCTGTGACCAACCACTTCCCTCAGGGTACCAGGTAATGTCAGACTCAGAATCTGAAAAATGTGACTCATTTGAAACAAAAAACAATTTTTTGCATGCTCTAAGAAATCTTCAGGAAGAATGTAATAGACTGAGAAGCAGGTACTGTTTACTAATGACAGAGAATCATGCTGTGAGAAAGGAATTGGAAAATCTCAAAAGAACCGTGTCATTCCAGCATGAAAGTGAAATTAAACTCAAAAAACAAATGTTTGATCTAATTGATGAGAATAATGAGTTGAAACAAGATCTAAATGATTTGCATCAATTAAAATCAGGAAGTCTTAGCACAAGAAACAACTTTCATCCACCAAGAAATACTCTTAGAACTCCTGAGCCTGTTAAAGAAAAACACCATAAGAAAAATCAGAAGTATGCAGAAGTATATGTGTGTTCCTACTGTAATCGAAAAGGTCATTTAGCAAAGTTTTGTTATGACTTGCAAAAGCCGAAGAAACGTACTGTTTATAAGTCGTTTTGGGTACCAAAATGTACTAATCTGTAACTGATTGCAGAAGCAGGGAGAAAAGGAAAACATTTGGTATTTGGACAGTGGGTGCTCCCACCACATGACAGGTAGAAAAGAGCTGTTTTCATCTCTGAGTTATAGAAAAGGAGGTAAAGTAGTGTTTGGAGATGATAGGTTTGGCAAAATTCTAGGGAATGGGACTATTGGTAAGAGTCCACTTCCAATCATTAAGGATGTTTTACTTGTTGAAGGACTGAAACATAACTTATTGTCAATTAGTCAACTCTGTTCCTCTGAAAACAGAGTCACGTTTGAAGCTCTATCATGCAAAATTTCTAGAATCCATGATAATAAATTGCTATTTAGTGGTGTAAAGAAAAACAACATGTATATGGTCAACTTAAATATTTTGGAAACCTTTAATGAAACATGTTTTCATGCTGCATCAAATGAAGTAGACATACTTTGGCATAGGAAACTAGGGCATGTATGCATGTCAAAATTATCTAAATTGTCAAAATCTGAATCTGCTCGAGGGATTCCCTCAGGGTACCAGGTAATGTCAGACTCAAAATTTTCTGTGATGCATGTGCAAGTGGTAAACTAACCAAGAAAAGTTTTAAGTTAAAGGGTGACATAACCACTTCCCGAGCCTATGAATTGATACACATGGACTTGTTTGGACCAACAAATGTGGTAAGCCTCGGAGGTAAGTCATATGCTCTAGTTCTTGTTGATGACTTCACA